GCTCCCAAAAACCGTATCGTCTTACCTGTCGCCGCCGCGCTTACCTGCCCGCGATCGGGGTGCGACGGTGCTGCCTGTGGATCCGTATTAGCCACCGTACACGCGCACCGCACCGCGACCACTGACTTCGCACACCGATCGTTCCGTTTGAATAATTTAAAAACATAATTGTACTTATTTTCGTTCTTCAAATTTCCTACCGCGAGTAAAATTTCAGCCGATTTCCGTCAACCCGCAGTGACACATGTTTACCTCTGCAACGATGCAACAGTGGGAGGAGGGAAAGAAACGGAGAATTGAAAAACTACAAGTCGATGTTTGAGGTTACAACGAGAGGATCCCACGTGGTTTTTTTTTCTAAGGGGAATAATTACGTTTTCACAAAAAACCGTGCCATTACCGCTCTGAAAAAATACCATTGATTTACAGTTATAACGCGCGTTCGTGTTTTCATGGAAATAACACTAAAAAATAGATTTTAGATGATCGCACTTCACCGTTTTAGAGGCTATGCGTTTTAGAAACGCATCGTTTAAACGCTGAAAAATAAAATTGTATCGTTTCCGTACACATTATCTCGGAACCGTACGCGTTTGGACGTACCAGGGTCGTCCTTAGGATTTGCGAAGCCCTGGGCGAAAATACTTTTAAAACCTTTTAGGTTTATATTTATGTCTATGATCTATCCAAAAACATAACGCCTTCAATAATTCTTATCACACAATAAATGTGGTAGGTACCTCCCTAATTGATATTTATACAAATTTGCATTTCAATAAAACATCAATCATACATTTAAAAATGTAGCAACATCAACGTCATTATGTTTTGCTAAAATTCTATACATGCAATAATTCGTTTAAGAATACTACGCACTACGTTCTTTTTCAATATTTAAATTTTCTTGTATGTTGTTATCTACAGTTTTATGAAGATCAAGTCCCATACGTAATTGTATCAATTTTTCTTGAGCCGTATTATGTGAAATAAATAATTTCTGTTCTTTTAAACGTTCACTAATCGAATAAAACGCGAGGCCCAAAATTTAAGCAAAAAGCGCAAAGTCCAGGGCCTGGCCCCACTCGCCCTCTCACCATATGGACGTCTCTACATTTGACAGACGTCGATCCACGCGCGTGTTAAATTTTCAACATTTAAACGCATACGCTAGTATCTAAAACGCATAGTATGTAACCAACTTTTACCAATAAAATATTTGTGATATCAAATTTCAAATATTTTTTTTTAAATTAATTATTGATGTATTCTAAATGTTCAAATTGTTTTAAATAATTTGTCGAAAATACTTTAAAACTAATAAAAAATATATTCTAAGCTTATTTCTTATTATTAAGTGCCTTCTATATTTATTTCAATTAAAATCAGAAGAAAGTACCCAAATTTAAAATTGTATTTTTCGTATGGATATTGTAATATTCCTTGAGGATTTATCGAAGAGCTAAGAAAAATTAATTGATTCCTTATGTACCAAACTAGAAGATATTTTTGATTTTAATGGTTGATTAGTTCAAAACGATTTCTGTACCAAAATAAATGATTAGTAAATAAATTATGATTTATCCTCTTCGTCAGGAATGTAAAACGTCGTACATATTCCACATACACATACACAAATTTGGTCTGTACAGAATTTTATAACCTGGTGCATCCCGCAGAAGATACTTTTATTTCAATTTCTGACCTAATTCAACAAAATATTTTAATTTTGGTCCGTACTACAGGTTTAAATATAGCAGTTTATTTATAAACTCACAATAACAAATGAAGTTTAAAAAAATATTAAAAAAATTCTGAAACAAAAACGTGTATGGGCAAAATAAATTGTCAATTAAAATATAAAATGCGATTGAAATTATAAAAAAAGTAATAAATAATATTGAATTTATTATGTATAATAGGTACATTGTTAAAAATGAATTATCGAAATTTCATTTCAGTTTCGAAAACTGTAATTAATTTTTTTATTATTAGAGATATTTTTTCTCAGAATTAAATATTATGCTATCTATTTCAATTAAAAAAATAAGCTTAAGTAATAAAAATAATACATATTAACATTTAAAAAAATAGAAAGAAGAAAACCATCAGCAGAGGTACAATGTGAATATTAATTAATAAAATAACAAAACAAAAATATACAAAAATATAACAAAAATAACAAAAATAAGCTAATAGTAATAATATAATAAATAAATAGTAAACCTAGAGTAATAATAATAGTAAAAACTGTAAGTGACATTTATATATAATTGATAATATTTATATATATATATATATATATATAAATATTTGAGACAAATTTTATATATTTTCATTAAATTGATTTTATCTTCTCTATTTTTATTTCCTCTTATCTTTATAGTTTATACTGCAACCTTGTTTTTTTTGGCATTTAGTATAACGGTGAAACTTTGTTTATTTATTTTACTTTGTAATTTTAGATTCAAAGTATAGTATATTTTTTATACTAAACTATATACTACTTATATCACCTTATGTCATAGCACTTTACCCATAAATGTTAGAGTTGTGTAGTACTGAAGCAATAATATTTATACCGAACTGAAGTACATTAGTTACAATGTACCTACATCAAATAAATTGATCACACATAAAATGTATGTCTAGTCTTTTTGAGTTACAGAAAGTATCTTTATTTATTTTCTTATGAAAATACGAAACTTTCATTAGTGTACAACTCAATCATTACATATGAAAATAAAATATCGTAGGAGGTACTATTTTTAATTATTTATTATAACCAATTAATATACTTTCCACTTTTAAAAACTAAATAATAAATTATCAATAAAATATATTGATGATTATAAGTATTACTATAATACAGCGGTTCCTTAAGTTATTTAGTTCACGCATCGCAAAACAAAAAAAATTAAATCGCGCCTCCCATGAATACATAAAACAAAATTTTTTTATTATTTTAATAAAAGACCATTACTGTCGATCTAAAAAAAAAAAAATGTATTCATCATGTTTAGAATTCACTATATAACATTATATTAAAGAGTATTTGATTGATTTAAACTACTCTCTTAATTCGCTTAAAACATATAATTTTACAAACAAATATTATACTCCTAAACATTTTATATGACAACAGTAATTACTAGGTTTATATTTTTGAAATTAATTTAATTTAAACTACAATGTTGTTTACACAGAAAGAAATAGGGCGTGGAACAAAAAAAAAAAATCAACCCTAAACGTCATTTAACCATGGGCGTATTGTTATTTTTGTATTTGCAATGTTCTATCAAATAAACTCGAATTGACTTGAATATTTAAGAACATATATATCACTGTAAAAGGTGTGTCATATTTTAAATAAATAAAAATCATTTTTTCAATTATTGAAAATAAATAAGTCTTATAATTAAAATCAAGTAAAGCTTTATTATGTAATTGTGATATTATTTACAAAAATAAATTTGAAAACATTTCACTTATATCACTTATCACTATTTAGTAGCAATTTAAGAGTGTAATCAATTTTTCTACTCGTAAAGTAGAGATTTTTAAATTAAAAAATATGTAAATTAACTATTAGGACAATTGAATGTAACGTTAATAAAAATACAAAAAATTAACAAAAAAACATATGAACATACTAGCTGAATAAAAAATGATACGTTATATCGGATCTAGATCATATTAAAACACCAAATTTAGATCATAAAAATGCATAAATTTCTTCAAACGAAATTTTAATCAAAATCGCATGGTTAATGGGTTAAAAATTATTCTCATATTTTCAAACATTATATAATTCACAGCAAATAGAGCATTGTTCAAGTTTCTATACAAAAGAAAAAATAATTAAATAAATCGTGACTAAATACTAAACATAAAACTCTATATAAATGCTAAATTATTATAGTAAAAAAATGTATTTATGATGCAGCAGAATTTTTATGATGTATAAACAAATAAAGAACTGAAATATAACATATTTATTCATATACTTATTATACATTATATAATAATATAAGTTGTTTTACAGAAAATAAAAATAATAACAGAAGAATTAACAGAGTTTTGTATACTATTGTACTTTAAAATGATCTTTTAAGATTGTCTACCACAACTGTGTAACTACAAATTACGTTTGTTATACTGACCTCCTACAATGGGTTATTATACAGAATGTATTAAACACAATCTATGGATCTATTATAATTAAGATTAATTGAATTAAGAATTTTTATACAATTAATTTATTATAAATCTAAAATATATTTTATATGCATGGAAATCAAAATTCATTGAAAAAAAAATAATTCTTGATTGAAGCAATTGTGGTACAAGTAAATTAAAAAATAAAATATGCAATGTAAGAAATCCCATAATTGGTATTTAATTATTTTAATACATGAGTAAGCTATAAGATATTCGAGGATCTCATAATTTTATTATAATAACTCTGATTAACTTGATTCATAGATCCATGTAAATGTAATTTTTATTTAGGCGAT